TAAAGCCTCCGCTACAATGATTCTCGGTTCTGTCTACAATGGTCGTACAGTTGTATCGATGGTCGCTTGAGCAGTCGCAAAGTAAGAATTGACCAATCGCAGTCGATTATTCTTACGACTACGACTCTGCGACTCGCATTGTAGACAGAACCGAGAATCATTGTAGCGGAGGCTTTAAGTTGCAAAGCGACCGCCAATCTGGAGTTCGATTTTTGAATGGTTCTTAGCCAATCAACTTGTAACTTTTCTGTAAGAGCAGAATTTTTGCATACGTTTCTCTTTCGAATGATTCGATATCAAGCTCCTGAATTAGTGCAGCCAGACCTAACACAATTACTTCTTTGTTCGTCAAAAGTAATTGATAAGGTCAGCGTTTTACAATTATTTCCAGGTAATTCGACGATCTGAAAATTTATCCACGTATTCAGACCTTTGCCTTCACATGTCCGGGGCGAACGGCGGGGATTCACTATTTTCTTTGTCCTGCTTGAAAGGACCTTATCTTATTATCACGTTTATCTGTATTTATCGCAGTGAGGAGAACGTTTGACAGTTGGACGTTATTAAATTGCGTATAATATTTATTATTAGTGAGATATTTGTACGTGGTATTGTAAAATGATCTTTACTTTCTTTCTTTTTCGTCAACGGTGTTAAAACATTTGCTTTTTGCAGGTTTTCTCCCTCTCTCTCTAAAAAAAATAATATAAAATCTCTTTTATACGCACTTAATTGGAGTAATTAGTAAAAAATGGGTAATTATAAATTAAATACGTGGAACATAAAATTTAATGTTCTTCTTTGTAATAAAATTCTTTGTATTACAAATCTTCAGGTAAGGGCTTTAGTAAACCGCAGAAATCTGGTGAACAAACATTAGAATGTATTCAATGTGGTACCGTGCATAAACCAAATCAATGTCCGGCTTGGGGCGTCCAGTGCAACAGGTGCAAGAAACTCAATCACTTTACGAAAAATTGTAAATTTAGCTACATAATCAATTGCACCAAATGCGGAATGAGTCACGTTGTGATACGTTGTCCGGCGTATGGCGAACTGTGCACAAAATGCGGCAAGAGAAATCATTTCGCGTCCAAGTGCCAGACTCCCTTTGTGAACAATTGCTAGAGATGCGGTGCGAGTCATGTGGCAACATGTGTCCGGCGCAGGGTCGAACATGCCGTTATTGTAATAAACCGAATCATTTCAAAGAACGATGCGCGAGCAGGCGTAATAATGGTCAGTAGCGAATCTACAGTGATCGCTCACTTATTTTCTACTAAATAATGGTAGTAGTAGTTTCAAATATCTATGTACAAAAAGTTTTAACTCTATATTAAACAAAATATACACAGCATGTTATATCAAATATTTTATCTCTATATAAATTAATATAAATGTTATTTTGTATACAATTGAGAATTATTTTAGATATATGTATACTGCATTTTAAGGGCGAAAATAAATTGGAAATAATCGCTCGACATGTTTTCACTCGTTATTTATTAGATTAAAAATGTACATTACGCTTGATCACCAGTCGGCATGGACTTTATGATGTCGGAATTGCCAAGATCTGTGATCGAGAGCGTACAGACACGGAAGTATTTACCGCAGGCTGTACCCAATTCGATATTAGGTTTGTTTTCTGTTCCTGCACTGATGAACTAGTGCAATAAATTGGAGTAAGACAAGTATACTTTTTCTCATTCTAGCTTACTGCACTAGTTCACCAGTGCAGGAACAGAAAACAAGCCCATTGTTCCCCGTGTAATGGTGCACGCCAGTTTTCGCCAACATCGCGTATGTTTCTTTTGAGCCACCATTTATCCACGTATTCAGACCTTTGCCTTCACATGTCCGGAGC